GTTGCCAACCTATGACTAACTCTGACAAAGTAGCCCCTGAAGCTACCATTTTTGCTTCCTGCCTGGACTTCTTACAAACTTGGAATGGGGCAAACTAATAAGAGTTAAAAACTTGTTGGCTGGGTGTGGTGGCTCACGCCTGTAATCCTAGTACTTTGAGAGGCCAAGATGGGTGGATCACTTGAGGTCAGGAGTTTGAGACCAACCTGGCCAATGTGGCGAAACCCCATCTCTACTAAAGATACAAAAATTAGTCAGGCATAATGGCACAAGCTTGTAATCCCAGTTTCTCAGGAGGCCAAGACATGAGAATCACTTATCCTCAGGAGGTGGAGGTTGCAGTGAGCCAAAATTGCACCACTGGACTCCAGCCTGGGTGACAGAGTAAAATGCTATGTCAAAACAAACAAACAAACAAAAAACACAAAGAAACCCCACCTGTTTGGGAATTAGTCTTATTATACTGTATTAGCATTATATACATTGAATATTAGAGTATTATATATTCTAGGTTTTTTGTTGTTGTTGTTGTTTGTTTGTTTGTTTGTTTTTTACCTGATTTTAGTTTTCAAAGCTTTACAAATGTGCAATTCTGAGTTGTAATTTGGTTTGGGAGCCATTTACAGAGATGAAGATAAATGATAGAATAGGTAGATAGGTGAGATAGTGTGACCTGAGCAAAGTGAAGAAATTGTAACACCTTAGGGTCATGAGGGAACCTTAGCAGCCATTTAGAGTCACCACTCCTGGGGTTGAGTGGGCCAAATAAGCTCTCATGAGCTGTCAGGCCACCAGAACCTCTCTCTGTTCTGAAAGTGTGCTAACAACTAGCATCTAGCTTTCAGAGTGATTAATCTCCACTACCAGATCAGTAGCTGACACCCCAGGATAATTTGTTTACCTTTTATTATCTTATAATTAATCTTTCTAATGCTCCAAAAGACTATGTACAAATATAACACCTGTCAACTAGTTAAGAAAAACTAGTTTTTTTCTATCTAAAAACATAACTTTATGGAAGTTCTTGACATGACATTTATTTTATAAGCCCAGATATTTTTAACTTTTACTATCCAAACAGAACTTACTTCTTGTATTCTTACCTGTAAGTTTCTCTCTGCTTTTCCCAATGTTGTTGCCATTTCTTTACCCTCTGTTTTTCTTTTCTTCAAAGACTTGGAGCAGACAGAGCTTTTCCGACACAACTGAGCTGTTTGGAATTGGACTTGTTACCTCTCTAAAATTCTGTTTTTGTTTGTTTGTCTGTTTTTTTCTGAAAAATGGGGATAATAGCTTCATAGAGGTTTTTCAACGTTAAATGAGTAATAAAGATAGGGCCTATAGCTCAGTATCCAGCACATAATAAAGTGTTATAATTGCTAGCTATTATATTTAGCCATTGCTGCCAGTGTTACCGTTTTTGTTTATTAATAGGTCCTCTTCTGTTTCCTTTCTTTTTTTCCTATGTCAGAAAGCCATTTCTAGATTTTCCATTAATTTAGTACTGTCCCCTATATAAGTCCAGAGGTTTGCTCATGTGTCAAAATGTTTCCAACCCATAATTGGAAGTATCTGGCCGGGCATGGTGGCTCACGTCTGTAATCCTAGCACTTTGGGAGGCCGAGGTGGGTGGATCACTTGAGGTCAGGAGTTCAAGACCAGCCTGGCCATCAAGCAGAAACCCTGTCTCTACAAAAACACAAAAAGTAGCTGGGCGTGGTAGTGTGTGTCTGTAATCCCTGCTACACAGGAGGATGAAGCAGGAGAATGCTTGAACCCGGGAGGCAGAGGTTGCAGTGAACCGAGATCATGCCACTGCACTCCAGTTTGGGCAACAGAGTGAGACCCTGTCTCCAAAAATAAAAAAAGGAAGCATCTATGATAATGTAGGTACCATGATGTTTACTCTGGCTGGGGGACCTGGAACTTCCTTTCAATTTCTAGTGAAGATTACACACAGCAGTTACCAGTAAAAATTACTAAAGACTGAATAGAGAGGCATTTTACTGCCCTGTTTGGTGTCAGTCTCCATGGAAATTTGACCCCAACTATAACAAAGTTATTGGTTAACAAAGACAACCTTGGAGGTGGGCTGGGAGGGCAGAGTCTGTTTTCCCCCACCTCCTTATGTTTACATCCTCCATCCTCATAGTCCCCTGGGCCCAGTGACCACCTGAGGCTGTACCCAGAAAGGGAACAAGGAAGACTTGGAAACATTCCTGCCAGGCGAGACTCTCAGATGGCCCCTGAGGGTGTCTTTTGAAATATGTATAACCCTAGTCACTTAGAAATACAGCTCATTAAATGAGATATTTTTTAAATGGGAAATAATTTATAAAGATAAAAATAACTCTGCCTTGCCACAAAAGTACAAAAATAAACTCTGTACCTTCTCTGTCTGATTCCGGGAGGGAAGGAAGGGAGGGTGAGAGTCAGAATGTATTCTGGCTGAAGCTAAGTAAGAATAGAAACTTGACCAACTTGCAGTGGTACCCCGAGATGCAGGGATCTTAGGACGGTGGAGGAGAATTGGATTCTTTAAAAATACATATATAATTCCATAGTCCTGAGCTCCAGTCATTCCCAGCATGGGGTGCTTTGTTCCTAGATAAATGACACACCTCAGGGTTGCAAAATCCATCCAGCCACCTGCCCTAGTTCTTTTTCCTCCCAAACACCTTTTAATCACAGGGCTCTGAGAGCAGAAAATAGGTCTCAGAAAGGCCCCTTCCTTCAGCATTTTAAAAATACTCTCACATGACCTCAGCTTCTAGTGAGCTCCTTTTCACTCACCTGTCCCAGCCTTGGTGCTTCTTAAGAAAAGCAGCCATATTCCTGCTTCAGGACCTTTGCACTGGCTGTTCTTTGTTTCCTCCAGGAGCCTCTTCCCTGAGAAAAGCTCATTCCCTCACTTCCTTCAAGCCCCTGCCAAAACATCACTCTCTCAGAGGGCTCATTCACCAATGCCTCTTCCCCAGCCAGCACGTCCCATCCTCCTTGCTTTGTTCTACTTCTCCTGTGACAAATGCCACCGTTAAGCCTACCATATCAGTTATTTCTTTTATACTTCATCTTCTCCAATGAGGGCCAGAATTTTCATCTCTTTTGTTTATGGATACGTCCCCCGTTCCCAGAACAGTATCCATCACATGGTCTGAACAAACACATGATCAAATTTCCTTCTTTCTTTTTCTCTTTCTTGCTTGCTTGCTTCTCATTCTTCTTTCTCTCTCTCTCCTCCTTTCCTTCTTTCTTTCTCTCTTTCGAGACAGACTCTCACTTTGCCGCCCAGGCTGGAGAGCATTGGCATGATCTTCACTCATTGCAACCTCCGACTTCCAAGTTCAAGCAATTCTGCTTCAACGTCCTGAGTAGCTGGGATTACAGGCATGTACCACCATGCCCAGGTAATTTTTGTATTTTTAGTAGAGATGAAGTTTCATCCTGTTGGCCAGGCTAATCTCTAATGCCAACCTCTAGTGATTCATCTGCCTCGGCCTTCTGAAGTGCTTGGATTACAGGTTTGAGCCACTATGACTGGCCTAAATTCTCTTTTTTAAATATTTTTAATGTTTTTTTTAAAAAATCATACTTTATGTTCTGGGGTACATGTGCAGATCTTGCAGGATTGTTACACAGGTATACACATACCATGTGGTTTGCTGCCTCCATCCCCCCCACCCCCCATCACCTACATTAGGTATTTCTCCTAATGTTATCCCTCCCCAATCTCCCCACCCCCTGCTATTCCTCCCCTAGCCCCCCACCCCACAACAGACCCCAGTGTGTGATGTTCCTCTCCCTGTGTCCATGTGTTCTCATTGCTCAACACCCACTTATGAGTGAGAACAGGAGGTGTTTGATTTTCTGTTCTTGTGTCAGTCTACTGAGAAAGATGGTTTCCAGCTTCATCCATGTCCCTGCAAAGGATATTAACTCATCCTTTTTTATGGTTGCATAGTATTCTATGGTGTATATGTGCCACATTTTCTTTATCCAGTCTATCCGTGATGGGCATTTAGGTTGGTTCCAAGACTTTGCTATTGTAAACAGTACCCCAATGAACATATGTGTGCATGTGACTTTATAACAGAATGATTTCTAATCCTTTGGGTATATACCCAGTAATGGGATTGCTGGGTCAAATGGTATTTCTATTTCTAGATCCTTGAGGAATCGCCACACTATCTTCCACAATGGTTGAACTAATGTACACGCCCACCAACAGTGTAAGAGTGTTCCTATTTCTCCACACCCTCTCCAGCATCTGTTGTCTCCACATTTTTTAATGATCTCCATTCTAAGTGGTGCGTGATGGTATCTCAATGTGGTTTTGATTTGCATTTCTCTAATGACCAGTGATGAGCATTTTCTCATGTGTGTTAGCCACATAAATGTCTTCTTTTGAAAAGTGTCTGTTCATATCCTTCGCCCACTTTTTGTTTGTTTTTTTCTTGTTAATCTGTTTTAGTTCTTTGTAGAATCTGGGTATTAGCCCTTTGTCAGATGGGTAGTTTGCAAAATTTTTTTCCCATTCTGTTGGTTGTCAGTTTACCCTAATGATAGTTTCTTCTGCTATGCAGAAGCTCTTTAGTTTAATTAGATCCCATTTGTTTATTTTGGCTTTTGTTGCCAATGCTTTTGGTGTTTTAGTCATGAAGTCTTTGCCTATGCCTATGTCCTGAATGGTATTGCCTAGGTTTTCTTCTAGGGTTTTTATGGTGTTAGGTCTTATGTTTAAATCTTTAATCCATCTGGAGTTAATTTTGTATAAGGCATACCAAAGGAAGGGATCCAGTTTCAGCTTTCTGCACATGGCTAGCCAGTTTTCCCAATACCATTTATTAAACAGGGAATCCTTTCCCCATTGCTTGCTTTTGTCAGGTTATTGAAGATCAGATGGTTGTAGATGTGTGGTGTTTCTTCTGAGGCCTCTTTTCTGTTCCATTGGTCTATATCTCTGGTTTGGTACTAGTACCATGCTGTTTTGATTACTGTAGACTTGTAGTATAATTTGAAGTCAGGTAGCGTGATATCTCCACGTTTGTTCTTTTTGCTTAGGATTGTCTCAGCTATGTGGGCTCTCTTTTGGTTCCATATGAAGTTTAAGGTGGTTTTTCCAGTTTTGTGAAGAAGGTCATTTGTAGCTTGATGGGGATAACATTGAATCTATAAATTACTGTGGGCATTAGGGCCATTTTCATGATCCTGATTCTTCCTAACCATGAGCATGGAATGTTTTTCCATTTGGTTGTGTCCACTCTTATTTCCTTGAGCAGTGGTTTGTAGTTTTACTTAAAGAGGTCCTTTACATTCTTTGTGAGTTGTATTCCTAGGTATTTTTTTCTCTTTGTAGCAATTGTGAATGGGAGTTTGCTCATGATTTGGCTCTCAGTTATTGGTATATAGGAATGCTTGTGATTTTTGCACATTGATTTTGTATCCTGAGACTTTGTTGAAGTTGCTTATCATCTTAAGGGATTTTAGGCTGAGACAATTGGGTCTTCTAAATGTACGATCATGTCATCTGCAAATAGAGACAATTTGACTTCCTCTCTTCCTAATTGAATACGCTTTATTTATTTTACTTGCTTGATTGCTCTGGCTAGAACTTCCAATACTGTATTGAATAGGAATGTTGAGAGAGGGCACCCTTGTCTAGTGCCAGTTTTCAAAGGGAATGCTTCCAGTTTTAACCCATTCAGTATGATACTGGCTGTGGGTTTGTTGTAAATAGCTTTTATTATTTTAGATACATTCCATCGATACCTAGTTTACTAAGAGTTTTTACCATGAAGGGCTGTTGAATTTTGTCAAAGGTCTTCTCTACATCTATTGAGATAATGTGGTTTTTGTCTTTGGTTCTGTTTATGTGATGAATTACGTTTATAGATTTGCATATGTTGAACCAGCCTTGCATCCCCAGGATGAAGCCTACTTGGTGGTGATGGATAAGCTTTTTGATGTGCTGTTGCATTCGGTTTGCCAGTATTTTATTGAAGATTTTTGCATTGATGTTCATCATGGATATTGGCCTGAAGTTTTCTTTTTTAGTTGAGTCTCTGCCAGGTTTTGGTATCAGGATGATGTTGGTCTCATAAAATGAGTTAGGGAGGATTTCCTCTTTTTGGATTGTTCGGAATAGTTTCAGAAGGAATGGTACCAGCTCCTCTTTGTATGTCTGGTAGAATTCAGCTGTGAACCTTCAAAAAAAAACCCTGGACCTGAGTATCTGGACCTGGACTTTTTTTTGCTTGGTAGGCTATTAATTGCTGCCTCAACTTCAGACCTTGTTATTTGTCTATTCAGGGATTCAACTTCTTCCTAGTTTAATCTTGGGATAGTGTAAATGTCCAGGAATTTATCCATTTCTTCTAGACTTACTGGTTAATGTGCATAGAATTGTTGTAGTAATCTCTGATGGTAGTTTGTATTTCTGTTGAATCAGTGGTGATATCCCCTTTATCATTTTTTTATTGCATCTATTTCATTCTTCTCTCTTTCCTTTTTTATTAGTCTGGCTATCGGTCTATCTTTGTTGGTCTTTTCAAAAAACCAGCTCCTGGATTTATTGATTTTTTTTTTTTGAAGGGTTTTTTGTGTCTCCATCTCCTTCAGTTTTGCTCTGGTCATAGTTATTTCTTGATTTCTGCTAGCTTTTGAATTTGCTTGATCTTGCTCTTCTGGTTCTTTTAATTGTGATGATAGGGTGTCAGTTCTAGGTCTTTTGCTTCTCATGTGGGCATTCAGTGTTTTAAATTTCCCTCTAGATACTGCTTTAAATGTGTCCCAGAGATTCTGGTATGTTGTATCTTCATTCTCATTGGATTCAAAGAACATCTTTAATTCTACCTTCATTTTAATATTTTTCCAGTAGTCATTCAGGAGCAGGTTATTCAGTTTCCATGTAGTTATGTGGTTTTGAGTGAGTTTCTTAATCCTAATTTGATTGCACTGTGGTCTGAGAGACTGTTTGTTATGATTTCCATAACAGTTCTTTTGCATTTGCTGAGGAGTGATTTACTTCCGATTATGCGGTCAATTTTAGAGTAAGTGAGATGTGGTACTGAGAAGAATATGTACTCTGTGGATTTCGGATAGCGAGTTCTGTAGATGTCTATTAGGTCAGCTTGGTCCAGATCTGAGTTCAAGTCCTGGATATCCTTGTTGATTTTCTGTCTCGATGATCTGTCTAATATTGACAGTAGAGTATTAAAGTCTCCCACTGTTATTGTGCGGGAGTCTAAGTCTCTTTGTAGGTTGTTAAGAACTTGCTTTATGTATCTGGGTGCTCCTGTATTGGGTGCATATATATTTAGGATAGTTAGCTCTTCTTATTGTGTTGATCCTTTTACCATTATGTAATGCCCTTTTTTGTTTCTTTTGATCTTTGTTGGTTTAAAGTCCATTTCATCAGACACAAGGATTGCAACCCCTGATTTTTTTTTTTCCTCTCCATTTGCTTGGTAAATCTTCTTCCATCCTTTTATTTTGAGTCTATGTGTGCCTTTGCACATGAGATGGGTCTCCTGAATACAGCACACTGATGGATGGGTCTTGACTTTTTATCCAATTTGCCAGTCTGTGTCTTTTCACTGGAGCATTTAGCCCATTTACATTCAAGGTTAATATTTTTGTGTCAATTCGATCCTGTCATTCTGAAACTAGCTGGTTATTTTGCCCATTAGTTGATGCAGTTTCTTCATTGTGTTGATACTCTTTACCATTTGGTACATTTTTGCAGTGGCTGATACTGGTTGTTTCTTTCCATGTTTAGTGCTTCCTTCAGGAGCTCTTGTAAGGCAGGTCTGGTGGTGACAAAATCTCTCAGCAGTTGCTCGTCCATAAAGGTTTTTATTACTCCTTCACTTATGAAGTTTAGTTTGGCTGGATATGAAATTCTGGGTTGCAAGTTCTTTTCTTTAAGGATGTTGAATATTTGCCCCCAGTCTCTACAGGCTTGTGGGGTTTCTTCCAACAGATCTGCTGTAAGTCTGATGGACTTCTCTTTGTGGGTAACCCGACCTTTCTCTCTGGCTGTCCTTAGCACTTTTTACTTCTTTTCAACCCTGGTGAATCTGACGATTAAGTGCCTTGGGTTTGCGCTTATTTAGGAATATCTTTGTAGTGTGCTCTGTATTTCCTGGACTTGAATGTTGGCCTGCCTTGCTAGGTTGGGGAAGTTTTCCTGGATAATATCCTGAAGAGTGTTTTCCAGGTTGGATTCATTCTCCCCATCACATCCAGGTACACTGATCAAACATAGATTAGGTCTTTTCACATAATCCCATATTTCTTGAAGGCTTTGTTCATTTATTTTCACTCTTTAATCTTGCCTTCTTGTTTTGTTTCATTGAGTTGATCTTCAATCTGTGATATCCTTTCTTCTGCTTGATCGATTCAGCTATTGAAACTTGCGTATGCTTTGTGAAGTTCTTGTGCTGAGTTTTTCAGCTCCATCAGGTCATTTATGTTCTTCTCTAAGCTGGTTATTCTAGTTAGCATTTCACCTAAACTTTTTTCAAGGTTCTCAGTTTCTTTGTATTGGATTAGAACATGTTCCTTTAGCTCAGATAAATTTGTTATTACCCCCCTTCTGAAGCCTGCTTCTGTCAATTTGTCAAACTCATTCTCCATCAAGTTTTCTTCCCTTGCTCATGAAGAGTTGTGATCCCTTGGAGGAGGAGAGGCATTCTGGTTTTTGGTGATTTCATCCTTTTGCACTGGTTTCTTCCCATCTTTGTGGATTTATCTACCTGTGGTCTTTGTAGTTGGTGACTTTTAGATGGGGTCTCTGAGTGGTTGTCCTTTCTGTTGTTGTTGAAGCTATTTCTGTGTTTTAGTTTTCCTTCTAACAGTCAGGCCCCTCTGCTGCAGGACTGCTGGAGGTCTACTCCAGACCCTGCTTGTCTGGGAATCACCCATAGGGGCTGCAGAATAGCAAGGATTGTTGCCTGTTCCTTCCTCTGGTAGCTTCATCCCAGATGTCAGCCAGGGCTCTCCATTGTGAGGTGTCTCTTTGAAAATATGGGGGTCAGCGAGCCACTTGAGGAGGCAATCTAGCCCTTATCAGAGCTCAAGTGCTGTGCTGGGAGCTTCTTTGCTCCACTCAGATCTGCTCAACAGGGACGTTTAAGTCTGCTGCAGCGGAACTCACAACTGCCCCTTTTCCCAGGTACTCTGTCCCAGAAAGGTGGAGCTTTATTTATAAGTCCCTGAGGGCTACTGCCTATTTTCAGAGATGTCCTGCCCAGCAAGGAGGGATTCTAGTCACAGTCTGCCTGCAGAGGCATTGCTGAGCTGCTGCAGGCTCCACCCAGCTGCTGTGTAAACTTCCTTGCAATTTTGTTTACACAGGTAAGGTTAGAACTGCCTCTGTAATGGCAGACTCCCTCGATAAAGGCTGATGCCCTCCCCCCCACCAAGCTTGACCGTCCCAGGTCGAGCTCAAACTGCTGTGCTGGTTGCAAAAATCTCAAGCCAGTGGATTTCAGTTTTCTGGTCTTTGTTGGCAGGGGTGGGGGGGGACCTGCCAAGACAGATCACTTGGCTCCCTGCCTTCAGCCCCCTTTTATTCAGGGGAAAGGGGAGCTGTGTCTCACAGGTGTTCCAGCCACCAGCTAAAACAGCTGCCCAGATTTGTGCTGGAAACCTGTGGCGCTTATTGCCCTGGCAGGAATCTCCTGGTCTGTGGGCTGTAAAGGCTGTGGGAGAAGTGCAGTATCTGAGCCTGAGTACTGAAGTGGCTGGAAAAGTCCCCAATGGCTTGCACTGGGTAAGAGGGGCAGTCCTCCAGCCCCTTCACTTCCTGGGTGAGGCAGTGTCCCACCCTGCCTCGGTTTGCCCTCCTTGGGATACACCCACTGTCCAACAAGTCCCATTGAGATAAGCCTCATACCTCAATTGGAAATGCAGAGATCCCTCACCTTCTGCTTTGATTTTACTGGGAACTGCACTCAGGAGCTGTTCCTATTCGGCCATCTTGGTGGAAGTTGCCTGGCCCAAATTTTCAATCACATCTGATAGTGGCATGGGACAGACTTTGCCCAAAAAAGATTTGATGAATGACAGATTCTCCCTTCCAGCCATGACCTAGGAGGTCATGACTTACTTATGAGGAGGAGAAGAGAGCAGGGTGGCCTCAGGTATGACTGCTGAGAGCTAACTGGGAAAACTATAGCACCTATGACTACTCAGAGAGCTAACTAGGAAGATTTGCTTTGCTCCAATTGTACCTAATACAGCAGCCACATTTGTACTTCCAGAAATGGGAAATGGAATCATAGTAAAAGAACCACAAAGAGGTCTTCGTGTGAAGTAAATTTTTCCCCTTTATTTTTTGCTGTCTTCTGCCCAGATCAGAGCTATATGCAGGGCTGAGAACACAGGAAGTAGGGGCATCTTTTACATTGACTGTGGGAAAAAAACCATTATTTCTCAATCCCTGTGTTCTGGTCTTCATATATACTAAGTAACTGTGAGTAATTAGAGTAATGCATGGCTCTAAGCATTTGGTACATAGCTGTACATACATCTTTAGCAAGGCATCCTGTGCATGTTCTCATGGCCTGCCTGCTTTCTCTAATCAGCCAAAGACCTGAGAAGCCTCCCAACACCATGTGGGAAAATAGAAAGCATGCCCCAATAGCTAAGGAGCAGGCAGAGGAAACTGAAGTCATCCTTGAAAGAGAACCAACAGGGACAGGGGGCTAATATCTAAAATATACAAGGACCTCAAGCTACTCAAAACAAACAAAGCTATTAAAATGGGCAAAGAAATGTCAAATAGACATTTCTCAAAAGAAGATACATAAAAGGCCAAGAGATATAAGAACAAAAAGTTCAACATTTCTAATCATCAGAGAAATCCAAATTCAAATCACAGTGGGATATTAGCTCACACAATTTAGATTGGCTATTACCAAAAAGATGAAAAATAAATGTTGATGAGGATGTGGAGAAAGAGAATCCATATCCATTGTTGGTGGTATTGTAAATTAGTGCAGCTATTTTGGAAAACAGTATAGTGGCTCTTCAAAATGTGAATAATAAACATATAATTGAGCAATCCTACTGGATATATATGCAAAGGAATTTAAATCAGTATGTCAAAGAGATTTCTGTACTGCAATGTCATTGCAGCATTATTCACGATGACCAAGATACGGAATCAGCCTAAGCGTCCCTTAATGGATAAACTGATTAACAAAATATGGCATATGTGCACAATGGAATATTGTTCAGTCTTAAACAGAAAACAACAATTCATGAATTTAGGAGACAGCATTTTAAGTAAAATAGGCTAGGCACAGAGAGACAAATATTGTATGACCTCACTTTTATGTGGAGTTTTAAAGAGTTTGCTCATGGAAGTAGAGTAGAATGGTGGTTACCAGAGGCTGGAGGAAGCACTAGGTGTGGAAACAGGATGTTGGTCAGGGTACAAATTTTCAGTTAGGAGTAATAAGTTCAGGTGTTCCATTGTACAGCATAGTGATCATAGTTAATGTATATTTCAAAATAGTTGAATGATAGGATTTTCAATTATCTCATCAGAAAGAGATGATAAATATTTGATGTGATGGATACGCTAATTAGTCAGATTTGATCATTCTACAATGTATACATTGTGAAAGAGAGAGGGTGAACATGCCTGCAAGTGCACACTAAGACATGATGGGTAGCACTGCCTGCCCTAGATCCAGCATGAGTCAAGGCTCAAACCCCAGCTTCTCTACTTGTCAGTTCCATGAGCTTAGATGAGGACTTGGATATAGTCAAGCTTCATTTCCATCTGTGAAAAAATACAACATTACTCTTTCTATTTCCTCTGTAGGATTTTAATAATAATGAAAACAGATAACACCTATTGAGTGCTCACTATGTACCAGATAATGTTAAAAGTGTGTGTGTGTATATATTTATACATATATATATATATGTATAAATATATATGTATAAATTTATATATGTGTGTATATATATATATACACACACACATATATATACACACGAATAGTGTATATATTTGCAATAAAGTGAACAAATCTTAAGGGTAAAGCTCAGTGAGTTTTTATATATTTATACACTTGTAAAACCACTACCAAGATAAAAATGGAGATGATGAGCACTCCAGAAGAGACCTTCATGCCATCTCCCAATTCAAAATCTCCAAAGGTAATTAATATTTGGCCTCTATCACAGTAGATTAGTGATATGGTTTGGTTTATCCCCACTCAAATCTCATCTTGAATTGTTCTTGTAATTCTCATGTGTTGTGGGAGGGACCGGGTGGAGATAATTGAATCATGGGGCAGTTTCCCCCGTCCTGTTCTTGTGTTAGTGAGTTTGTTCTCATGAGATCTGATGGTTTTATAAGGGGCTTCCTCTTTTGCTGGGCACTCATTCTCTCTCCTGCCACACTGTGAAGAGGTGCCTTCTGCCATGATTTTAAGTTTCCTAAGGCCTCCCCAGCCATGTGGAACTATTAGTCAATTAAACCTCTTTCCTTTATAAATTACCAAGTCTTGGTTATGTTTTTATTAGCAGCATGAGAATAGACTAATACAGTAAATTGGTACTGGGTAGTAGTATGCTGCTATAAAGATACCCAAAAATGTGGAAGTAACTTTGGAACTGGGTAAAAGGGAGAGGTTGGAATAATTTGGAGGATTCAAAAGAAGACAGGAAAATGTGGGAAAACTTGGAACTTCTAGAGACTTGTCGAATGGCTTTGACCAAAATGCTGATAGCGATATGGACAATGAAGTCCAGGCTGAGGTGGTTTCTGATGGAGATGAAGAACTGGTTGGAAACTGGAGCAAAGGTGACTCTTGTTATGCTTTAGCGAACAGATGTGGTGGCATTTTGCCTCTTTCCTAGAAATCTGTGGAATTTTGAATTTGAGAGATGATTTTTAGGTTATCTGGCAGAAGAAATTTATAAGTAGCAAAGCATTCAAGAGGAAGCAGAGCATAAATCTTTGGAAATTTTGCAGCCTGATGATGCAGTAAAAGAAAAACCTATTTTCTAGGGAGAAATTTAAGCCTGCTGCAAAAATTTGCATATGTAACAAGGAGCTGAATGTTAATCACCAAGATGGTGGGGAAAATGTCTCCAGTGCACATCTGAGACCTTCATGGCAGCTCCCCCCCACAATAAACCTAGTGGCCTTGGAGGGAAAAATGATTTCCTGGGCTGGGCCAAATGGTACTCCCACCCCTGCTCAATGCAGCCTAGGGACATGGAACCCTGCCTCCCAGCTGTTTCAGCTCCAGCTGTGGCTAAAAGGAGCCAAGTTCAGCTTGAGTCATTGCTTCAGAGGATGTAAGCCCCAAGCTTTGGCAGCTTTCACCTGGTGTTGGTACTTCAGGTGCATAGAAGATGAGAATTGAGGTTTGGAAACCTCCACCTAAACTTCAGAGGATGTATGGAAATGCCTGAATGTCCAGGCAGAGGTGTGCTGCAGGGGTGGAGTCCTCATGGAGAATCTCTGCTAGGGCAGTGCAGAAGGTAATGTGGTGTTGGAGCTCCCACACAGAGTCCCCACTGAGGCACTGCCTACTAGAGCTGTGAGACGAGGACTTTGTCCTCCAGACCCCAAAATGGTAGCTTCACTAACTGCTTGCACCATGTGCCCAGAAAAGCTGCAGACATTCAATGCCAGCCCATGAAAGCAGCCAGGAGGGGACCTATACCCTGCAAAAGCCACAGTGGCAGAGCTTCCCAAGACTGTGGGAGCCCAACTCTTGTATCAGTATGACCTGGACGTAAAACATGAAGTCAAAGAAAATCATTTTGAACCTTTAAGGTTTAATGACTGCACTTTTGGATTTCAGACTGGCATGGAGCTTGTAACCCCTTTGTTTTGGTCAATTTCTCCCATTTGAGATGGCTATATTTACCCAATGTCTGTACCCCCATTGCATCTAGGAAATAACTAATTTGCTTTTGATTTAACTGGCTCATAAGCAGAAGGGACTTGTCTTGTCTCAAATGAGACTTTGGATGTGGACTTTTGAGTTAATTCTAGTATGAGTTAAGACTTTGGGGGACTGTTGGAAAAGCGTGATTGTGTTTTAAATTGTGAGGACATGAGATTTTGGAAGGACCAGGGGCAAAATGATATAGTTTGGCTGTGTCCTCAGCCAAATATCATCTTGAATTATAGTTCCCATAATACCCATGTGTCATGGGAGGGACCAGGTAAAATAATTGACTCATGGGGGTGGTTTCCACCATCCTGTTCTTGTGACAGTGAGTTATCATGAAATCTGATGGTTTTATAAAGGGCTTCCGTCTTCACTGGGCACTCATTTTCTCTCATGCCATCCTGTGAAAAGGTATCATCTGCCATGATTATAAGTTTCCTGAGGCCTCCCCAGCCATGTGGAACTGAGTCAACGAAACCTTTTTCTTTCATAAATTACTCAGTCTCGGGTATGTCTTTATTAGCAGCATAAGAATGAACTAACACAGTTAGTTATGTATATTCTTGACTTTTATATAAATGGAATTCATACAAGATGCATTCATTTTTTTTCCTGGCTCTTTCCATGAAACGTGTTTGTGAGATTCATCCATTTTGCTGGTAGCAGTAACTAGTTTTGTTTACTCCTGTATATTGTTTTATTATATGACTATACTATATTAAATCTGTTATTGATGAACATTTGAATTGTTTCCAGGTTTTTTTTTTTTATTATGCATAAAACTGCTTCGAAAATTCTTGTAGAGGTATTTTAGTGGAAATGCTTTTTATTTCTTTTGAGTATATAACCAGGATGGTTGGAAGTTGCTGAATCTAGAATTTATGTATGTTTACCTTTATGTATGTTTACCCTTGGCAGTTGATAAACTGCCAAGTGGTTTTCCAACCTGACTATACAAATTTTCACTTCCACCAGCAATGACAGTTTGAGTTCCAGTTGCTTTGTATTCTCACTGACACTTGGTATTGCTAATCTTTAATTTTAGTCTTTCTATTAAAATATTTTGTTGTGGCTTTAATATGAATTTCTCTGACTAATAAGGATGAGCAACTGTTCATATGTGTATTGGCAAGTTGAATAGCCTCTATCTGAAGTTCAGGTCTTTTACCTTTTAAATTTTGTTGCTTGTATTACTTATTGGTTCATAGGAGTTTTTTATACATTATAGGCAGTAGGCCATTGTGAGGTATATGTTTTCCCCATATCTTGTGCCTGTTTCTTGACTTTTCACTGGTTGATAGTTCTTAATATTTATTTAGAAAACAGTGTCTCACTGTATCATACACGATGGAGTGCAATGGCACAACTATAGCTCACTATAACCTCAAACTCCTGCCTCAGACTCCTGAGTAGCTGGAACTACAGACATGCACCACCATACCTGGCAAGATTTTTTATTGTAGAGACAAGGTCTCACTATGTTTCCCAGGCTAGTCTTCCATTCCTGTCCTAAAATGATTCTCCTGACTCAGTTTCCAAAAGTGCTGGTATTACAGGTGTCAGCCACCATTCTTGGCCTATAGTTCCTAATTTTAAAGAAGCCAAAGTTAATATATCCTTTCTTTTATGGTTATTGATCTTTATGTCCTGTCTAAAAATATTTGCCGATGGCAAGGCTTCTGAAGATGTTCTCATACTCTTTCTTCTAGAAATTTTATTGTTTTATATTTGGTCTATGGTCTATCTTAATTTTTATAGTGCAAGACAGGAGGGTCCATTTCATTTTTCTTATATCAACATCCAGTTGACCCAATGACATTTAAGAAGGACATCCTTCCCCAGGGACTTATAATGGAATCTTTGTGATCAATTGTGTGATGCTATTTATGTAGGCATATTCCTAGTTTCATTGTTCTATTTCTTTCACTGATACCACATAATATTTAAAGTACTGTATATTTAAACTAGGTTCTTGAACTCTGCTCTTCTTCAACTTTTTTTCACAATACTAGGTCTTTTGTATTTCCATTTAATAATAAATTCAGCTTACCAATTTTTATAAATATCTTCTGATAATTTGATTGGATCAATCACCTGGGAATGAATTTAACATCTTAACAATATTAACTATTCCACCCCACAAATATTGTATTTCCCTCTATTTGATATTCTCTACTTTATCTCAGCAGTTGTTGTAGCTCTCAGTGAAATTTTAAGTGCTATGCTTATTTAACCTCCTGAATGGCCTTAAGAGATAGACACTATTATCCCTGTTCCTAAAAGGAAACTAAGGCTCATAGAGAGTAAGTGATTCGCTAAGGGTCATGTAGCCAAAAAGTGACAGTCACTATGCAAATGAAATACAATCATGCAGGCACCTGAGTTTATAGATTAAAAGGTGCTATCAAGCAAAAGAAACAATCAACAGCATGAAAAGATAAATTATAGAATGAGAGAAAATATTTAAAAACTACTCATCTGACAGGATTAATATCCAGAACATACAAAAAACTGAAACATCTCAGCAGAAAAAAAAAAAAATTTAAACACGAAAGGACGTGACTGGCAAGATGGCTGAATAGGAACAGCTCCAGTCTGCAGGTCCCAGCAAGATCAATGTAAAAGGTGGGTGATTTCTGCATTTCCAACCTCAGTTGGAATTTCCCAGCCCATCTCACTGAGACTTGTTAGACAATGGGCACAGCCCATGGAGGGTGACCTGAAGCAGGGTGGAATGTTGCCTCACCTGGGAAATGCAAGGGATTGGGGAACTCCCTCCCCTAGCCAGAGAAAGCTGTGAGAGACTGTGCCATGAGAAATGATGCATTCCAGCCCAGATACTATGCTTTTCCCATGGTCTTCACAACCCGCAGACCAGGAGATTCCCTTGGGTGCCTACAACACCAGGACCTTGGGTTTCAAGCACAAAACTGGGTGCCATTTGGGCAGAAACAGCTAGCTGCAGTTTTTTTTCATAGCCCAGGGGCACCTGAAATGCCAGTGAAATAGAAATGTTCACTTCCCTGGAAAGGGAGCTGAAGCCAGGGAGCCAAGTGGTCTATCTCAGCAGATCCCACTCCTACAGAGCGCAGCAAGCTAAGGTCCACTGGTTTGAAATTCAGTCAGCACAGCAGTCTGAAGTTGACCTGAGATGCTCGAGCTTAGTAGTGGTTCATCCACCATTACTAAGGTTTGAGTAGGCGGTTTTCCCCTCACAGTATAAACAAAGCCTCCTGTTAGTTTGAACTGGGTGGAGCCAGCACAGCTCAGCAAAGCCACTGCAGCCAGCCTGCTTCTCTAGATTCCTCCTCTCTGGGCAGAGCATCTCTGGAAGAAAGGCAGCAGCCCAGCCCCAATCAGGGGCTTAAAGATAAAACTACTATCTCCCTGGGACAGAGCACCTGGGGGGGAAGGGGCAGATGGGGGTGCAGTTTTAGCAGACTTAAACATTCCTGTCTGCCAGTTCTGAAGAGAGCAGTCTATCTCCCAGCACAGTACTCAATCTCTGCTAAGGGATAAACTGCTGCCTCAAGTGGGCCCCTAACCCCCGTGCCTCCTGACACCTTCAAACAGGGTTTGACAGACACATCATACAGGAGAGCTCTGGCTGGCATCTGGCAGGTGCCCCTCTGGGACAAAGCTTTCAGAGGAAGAAACAGGCAGCAATCTTTGCTGTTCTGTGGCCTCTGCTGGTGATACACAGGCAAACAGGGTCTGGAGTAGACCTCCAGAAAATTCCAGCAGACCTGCAGCAGAAGGGCCTATTATAAGGAAAACTAACAAACAGAAAGAAATAGCATCAACATCAACAAAAAGGACATCCACACAAAACCCCATCCAAAGTTCACCAACATCAAAGACTAAAGGTAGATAAATCGACAAAGATGAGGAAAAAACAGTGCAAAAAGCTGAAAATTCCCAAAACCAGAAAGCCTCTTCTCCAAAGGATCACAACTCCTCACAAGCAAGGGAACAAAACTGGACAGAGAATGAGTTTGACGAATTGACATAAGTAGACTTCAGAAGGTGGGTAAAAACAAACTTCTATGGGCT